CCAAAGCCCCAGTAGATAGTTGTACGTCATAGGTTCACATCCTTCTAGTTGCTGTACGTGGGACTCGGCCTTGCGTTGGACGGAGAAGTGGTGCCTCGGGGCGCTCCCGGGATCCGAACCCGGGCCGCCAGCATCAGAGCGCGCGCACTTAACCGCTAAGCCACGGGGCCGGCCCAAGATGAGCCAATGTTTATCTAACCAGTCTCCTATGCATGGCTGGTTAGGTTGTTGATTGCTTTTTTACTTTTGAAAATAATGCCGCAGTGTCATCCTTAAAACATGCTTCTCTCTGGACACATGCAAGTGCTTTGCTGGACCAGATATCTGGAAGTGGAATTGCTGGGCCAATTCTGCACATTCTAAAGTTCATATTTCACTTTCTTTCATGAGTGACTAGAATTCAAATAGATTGTGTGACGTGACTGAGATCACACAGCTTGTGAATCATAGAGCCGTTACCTGGTTTCCACACGCTTTTTGTTCCTACACCTAAAATGTAGTGGGTCTGCACATAGCGTGTGCTCAGTAAATGTTTGTTGAATGAATGAATGAAAAGATGGATAAGACCTGGTGTTATTCCTAGCTCTCCCAGTCACTAGCCTCACGATTAAGAAGTGGCAGTTTCGGGGCAGTCCGTGTGGCATGTTAGTTAAGTTTGGTGCACTGTGCTTTGGCAGTCTGGGTTGGAGAGTTCGGATCCCAGGTGCAGACATACATCATTTGTCAGCTATGCAGAGGCAGTGACTGACATAAAAAATAGAGGAAGACTTGCACAGATGTACATACACCATTTGTCAGCCATGCAGAGGCAGTGACTGACATAAAAAATAGAGGAAGACTGGCACAGATGTTAGCTCAGGGCAAATCTTCCTCAGCAAAAAAAAAAAAAAAAAAAGGAAGTAGCAAGTTAAGCATCTGACTGACTTCAAGCCTCCACCAGGGAGTTTGCCTGGATTTTAACCAGAGTCTGATGGGGCATGATTTGAACTTGGTGATGGCCAGGTGTTGGGACTTAGAGGAGTTTGTAGTGTTGTTCCTCAGATGGAGACACCCTCAAGTCATTTGTTAGCACCCTGTTCTACCTGCCATCCTCAGGGAAGGAGAAGATACATGATGGGAGAGGACCAAGGGAGGAGGGAGGGGCTAGGTCTAGAGATCTCAGTCCTGTCTCTGAGTAATCCACCTAGGCCTGCTCTCAGGCTCTCCACTATGTAGGGATGCAGCCAACTCTGGGGTGGTTAGGATGGAAGCCAAGCTAGAACTCCAGCTAGAATCAAGCCTTGCCAGCTGGTATGGGCTACATACTTCCCTTATCACAAAGGTTCACAGTGATGCCGCAGACCATGGCTAAAAGTGGTGGAGGTGGTTTTCTGAGCTAAGATAGAGTTGGGAGCACTGGGCAGGGAATGGGGAGTTACAAGGGCTCTACCTTTGAACTGAGAGAACCTCGGCATTTGGTAGAGGCATGAGCTTTGTTGGGCTCTGTGTGCTCCTAGATTCACATATTTACTCCTTTGCAAGTGCCAGCTCTTAAATCTCTGCCTCAAAAAGGCAATTCTCTAGCACTGGAAAGACTATGACCATGGAACTTATCCATCTCTGGTGAGCCCAGAGGCCATCTGCCAAGGAGCATTAGTGAATGCATGGTGAAAGAGAAGACAGGAAATGAGTAATTTCCTTCCCAGGGATGTTTCTCCCCCAAAGAACAATTGTGAAAAGAGTTCACTGAGGCACTCTGAGTTGTAATACTCTTGCATACATATCCAGGACATGATTGCTCCTTAAAATCACTTTACTAAAAAAGAAGAGTAATATAGGCAATACATTTATAAAGGCAAGTCCTACATTAATATAGGCAAATCCTTGTGGGAGCATAGGAGGACAGGCTTTCTGTCAAAGACAGACCGAAAGAGCAGATCACTACAGAGATAGAGTCTTGTCTTCAGAACTTTCCACCTCCCCTCCTGTGTGATGACAACCAGTTAATCTGATCATCTAACTTAATTTAAAATGCTAGTGAGTATTGATGGGTTAATACATTACTCCTCATCCATTCACTCATTCAACAAAATTTATTGAGGGTTCCATGTGATCCACACACTGTTCCACGGGTTCATTACACATTAGGAAACAAAACAGACCAATACCCTTGCCTTGTGGAGGTTCTATTAGAGCAGTTGGAGACAGAGAGTAAAGATGGGAGCTCTTTGCCGTAATCTTGTGGTCAGAAAAGCTTTCATGCAAGAACTGAATTCAGAGGAAAGACTTGGAGAAGGTGATGGAGTGAGTCTTGTGGAAATCAGGGGGAAGAGGGTTCCAGGTAGAGAGAAGAGTCAGGGCTGAGGCCCTCTGTCCTGGCCTGTTCAAGGACCAGCAAGAAGGACAATATGACTGGAACAGAAGAGGAGAGTAGGGGAGATGCAGTGAGAGCTGCAGGTCCTGGAGGGCCATGCTGGCCATTGTGAGGACTTGAACATCTACTCTGAGTGAAATGAGAGTGACTGGAAGGTGCTGAGCAGAGAAGTGACATGATGAGACTCAAGGAATGTTCTGGCTGTTGTGTTGAGCATAGACTGTAGGGGACACAGGTGGAATCAGGGGACCCACAGAGGAGGGTCCTGCATTAATCAGAATGTGATGATGGAAGCTTGGACCTGGCTGTAGCAGGGGAAGTGAGGGAAAGTGGAAGGATTCTGAACATATTTGAACTGTAGAGTCAAGGATTTCCTGAGGGGTTAGGGTTAATGTTTGCACATTTAATATTACATAAATAACATTTAAGTGTTAAATGTATGTACATTTAACATTACATATTTTTATGAGTGATTTTCTCTGTTGGAACTCAGAGGTAAAGAGACTCCCAAGCAGACAATTTGGCAGAAGAGGATCCTGAGTCACTACACTAGTGACTGTGTGTTTCACCCCGAGTCAACCCTGGGGAGGTGGAGGTTTGATGTGGAATTTGCCATCTTCTTCCAGGTCATAGTTTCTGCCCTACTCCTTCTGGCTTCTCTCTGCAGCACAGAGGAAAATGGGAAGTTCCCTAGATTTCCCTCTGCTCAACCTGCTTGTCTGCCTCGTCTTGGTCCAGCTGCTTACCCCTTGCTCGGGTAGGGCACATTCTGCTTTTTGTATCTGAAGTAGACAATTACCTATTAGTGCTCAGTCAGAACCTCTGATAACTTCTCATACCTGAAAGTTTCATCCAAAACTGAAGGTGACATGCCATTAAGACAAATTGTACTTCTGTTAGGATCATGTTCCTCTCTAGGATTTTCACACCTCACTCTCCCTGACTGATACTCCCCTCACTTACCCTCATAGCCCTTAGACCCTCTGATGGAGCTTCTCCTTTTATTGACTAGCTCAGTTTGCTGTGATTGGAGCCCCTGGGCCCATCCTGGCCCTAGTTGGTGAATATGCTGATCTGCGCTGTCATCTGTCTCCAATGATAAGCACGGAGACCATGGTGCTAATGTGGGTGAGATCCAGCCTTGGGCAGGTAGTATACTTGTTTACAAATGGGAAGGAAGTAGAAAACGTACAGATGGCAGAGTACCAAGGGAGAACTTTGATTGTAAGTGATGACATCACTGAAGGGAAGGCTACTTTCCAAATTTACAATGTCAGAGCCTCCGACAGCGGAAACTACCTGTGTTATTTCCAAGATGATGACTTCTCTGTAAAAGCCATGGTGGAGCTGAAGGTTGCAGGTGAGCCTCTAGGTTTTGTTCTGAGATCGTTCCCCCTTGGGATCTAGGAGCAGAGGCAGAGTTCACGCTCCAATCCTCCTCAGAGCATCCTGGCTGGTCACTAGGAACTGCCGCCACTGCCTTCTCACTTTGTTCTCTGAGGCCCTTGGGAAAGACACAGATTTTCCTCCAGGGAGAATCCCTCCTGTACTCTATATTATCAAGTAAAGAACTCCCTCATGCTGGCCACCAGGGGCTATGCAGGCAAGTGGAAAGTCAGGGAATAGGAAGGATAAGAGAGTATCTCCTCAGTGATGGCACACAGTTGTTTGGATTCAATTGTGTTCTGGATCTCTTCTGTGGCCCCTCCAGGTGCACATTGCTGTGGGCCCTGGGAGGCTGACCTGTAGGACAGCATCTGTGCTGCCAGCGTTCCCCCACCAAAGGTCCCCAGCAACACACCTGGATTGACCCAGGTGTGCTTATTACTTGTTGCGGGGAGGGAGAATGCACACCATGTGGGAACCATGTGGTGTCCAAGATGGTGTTAGAGAGAACTTGGGATAGAATTTGGGTTTGTGTTAGGGGAGATGGGTGAGGGTTCATGGAAGTGGGGCTTTGCAATGGATTGGATTCTGTCAGCAAGGTGGGGGGTGTGATTCTGTGGGTGGATGTCTTAAAAAGTCTTATCCAGAAGGAAAACTAGAGTGAGGCTAAAGCTGTAATTGGTCAAGGAGCAGCAGTCACTCATAGCCAAGATAGGGAAATGTTTGGTCATGATTGGACAGTGTTCATTTTTTTCTCTGTGTTCAAACATATTTGTTGAGTGGTCTTGTTTTTTGTCTTGACCCATCATAGTGACAAAGGGCCCTTGTCTGATGTTGATGTTCTATGAAATTGCTTATGTTCAACAGGAAAACATTAAGACCTGGCTGATGTACAGATGTCAAGGGTTGCATTTCTCTTTCTCATGGCACTCTCTTGCCCTGTGGCTTCTGTCTGGGTTAGGTCAATGGGGAGCCATAGCAGAAGATGGAAGGAGGTAGAGAGAGGAGAGAGAGGTCTAGGTAGTTATCCCCCTGGCTTTATCCTTGCAGGGCTACCTCTAGCTGGCTGTATTCCCCTCGTGAAGATCACTTCTCCTCTTAAGACAGCCCTTTCTACATGATGCTCTTCTTTCAGGTCCTCAAAATGGATTCCTCTCCACTTCCCTTTCGGTTTAGGGGTGGGTGGTAACAGCTCCACTGTTACTGGCCCTGGCGTATTGCTCTATCCCATGTAGTTTTCCCCTCACCATGACCATGCTTTTGAAAACAGCTCCATAATGAAACAGCCATTGAATTATCTAATGTGAGTGTGCCACTGATTTCTCTTGAGATTCTCATCGATACAGGAGGATCCAAAGAATTCAGACTCATTTATCTTTCCACAGCACTAGGTTCTGATCTTTACATTGAAATGAATGGTTATGAGGATAGAGAGATCTATCTGGAGTGCATTTCCACCGGGTGGCATCCCCAGCCCGTAATACAGTGGAGAGATGCCAAGGGAGAGGACATGCCAGCTGTGGCAGCATCTTTGGTTACAGATAGAGATGGCCTATATGCAGTCACAGCATCTGTGACTGTGAAAGGCACCTCTGGGGTAGGGGTATCCTGTATCATCAGAAATCCCCTCCTCAGGCAGAGAAAGACCACCAAGATTTCCATTGCAATTCAGTACCCCACTTAGCCTCAGGTAACTGTGCTGAGTTGTGGCTATTGAATGGAGGATGAGTGATTCTCTGTTGCTGACTCGGGTCTCTGTAGTGAATATAAGGCACAGAGCAGGGATCCAGAGCCTTCTTCTTACTAAAGGGATATTTCTTTTCCCCATAAAAACGTTTATGTCACAAATATTTACTAAGTATTTCCTGTGTGCTAGAAACTGCGACAGGCAATGGGAATTGGGGGAAAATGGTAAAGATCAGATCCTAAAGCAAAGACAAATGACAAAATGGGGAAAAAACTACATACAACTCATATCTTAGAGAAAGAGCTAATCTCCTTGAAATAGAAAACAACCCAGTAGAAAAATGAGCAAAGTTCACAGAAAAGGAAATAACACATGAGATGATATTCCATGTCATGCAATAGAGGAACATGTATTAAAAAATTTTCCACTTGTGAGATTAGCAACAAAACAAAACAAAAAAAACCGAGGTGGTAGATCACACATTCTGATGGGAGGGTTGTGGGGAGATAGTCACTCTTAGACATTTGTTGGTATCATTTGGTATATTTTTGGTATGAATTGGGAGAACTTCTTTTGGGAACAATATAGCACAATTTCTCCAAACTACTTTTTATTTATTGATACAAAATCCCACTTCTGGGAATTTATTTCACAGACATACTTGCATTTGTATGAAATGACTCATGTAAAATGTTATTTATTGTATCATTAATTAGAATAGCAAGAACTCAGAAATTATGCAAATGTCCATTGATGGGGAAATTTGACACAATGGAATATTGCGCAGTTGGGAAAGAAAACACAGACATTCTCTCTGTACTAATATGGAAGCATCTCCAAGATGAACAAAAAAAAACCAGATGCAGAGCAGTTTTGTATAGAAATCTATCTTTGGTGTAAACAAGAAAAGATATCTTTATATTTTTAAAATTTATTACATAGCACTGTATGCACTTGCATAGCACTCACTATATGTCAGACTTTTTATAAGTATTAATTGACTCCTTTAATCTTATGAAAGGGATACTATTATTACTTCCATGTTATAGATTAGGACACCAGGAATAAAGCAATTAAGTAATTAGTCCAGGATCATACTGCCAGTCAAGTAGAGGAGCCAGAATTTGAACCCAGGCCCTCCAGCTCCAAAGTTCCTATTCTTAACCACCATATTAAGCTGACAAATGAAAGGCTAATAAATGAGAGGAGGGAGGAGGGAGTGGATGGGAGACTTCGAGGACTTTTTATATATTTTTTGATATTTGAACCATGTACATGTAACTTATTGAAAGATTAAATTAGAAAAAACATATGATTCTGATGCTCAAGTAGCTCATATTCAGAAGTGAGAAGCAGACAGTTCAAGACAAGTAATAGTATTATGTTATTGTAAGCATCTACCGAAGCCTTAGCCACAGTTCACTGAGACTTGAGGAAGAGAAGGATCATTTGATGTCATGAGATCAACTCCATGATCCCCACCCTGGGGGTGAGAGGCTAAAGTTCCATTCCATTGCAGACCCCTTCTGCAGGGCCTGGCCTTGGATTGCAGCCTTGGCAGGGATCCTGCCCATCTTGCTGCTACTTCTTGAGGGGATGGGTTACTTGCCGTGGCGACAGCAGAAGGAGAAAGAGAGAGAGCAAGCAGAAAAAGATCTGGAAGGAATGACAAGAGGTATAAAACCACGAGGTAACACAAGGAATGGGCTCAGGGGAGGGTGCCCCTGAGGACCTCACACCTCCTCACCCCTAGCACCCACTTCTGCCCTGCATCATGTGTAAGGTTTATTTTCTAGAGGTCTTCCCCACTCCATCCCCACATCAGTAATGTTTTTTTCCTGCTTATTTTCCAAAGGAACTCCAGCATGAACTCAGTTAAGTTCCGACTCCCCCAAGAACCCATATATGACTCCCTATCACTGCTTTAAGCAACGTAATGACTCTTCACTTTTCTTCCATTGCAGAGTGGAGAAAGATCTAGTAACATGGCTTGTGAGTGGCTCTGACATTTTCTCTGAATTCACATCTGACTCTCTGCTCTGATATTTCCCAGCTCCTTTCCTCACCCCTAATGGCCCGGTGTTGAGAAAAGTCCAGGATCCCTTTACCAAGAGAAAGAAATGAGGGTGGTTGATTGTGGGGAAGCGCAGGAGAGTCATGGTTTTTAATAGAGAAAAGGCCCTTTAATTTCTCTCCAGGAGGGACCCACAGACTCTTCAGCCCAGCAAGGCAGCAGGGAATATCCAAGGTGCACTTGAAAGGAAAGGAGGAGGAAGGGATGGAACTCTCTAGATGAAGTGCCTTCCCTATGTTGGGAGCCTCACTAATTGCTTTACATAATCTGTAGGCTGCTGAGAAGAAAACAAAGAATGTAAGATTTAAGGGAGTGAGAAAATCACAGAAGCAGGAGAGAGAAAAGAGTCTCTTAAAAAGAGGAGTGGCCACAGTGGCTCAGTTGTCATAGATTTATGAGAACTGCTTTTAAAAAATAGTGTCTGAAATTTCCACATCAAGTTGACCAATTTTTTTCAGAAGTAGGCAGGATAGAATACAGCTTGAGACAGATGGATTCTAGTGCACACACACAGACACGTGTACACACAGTGACACCTGTGCCCAAGTATGGGAGTGTAGATATATACAGAATAGATCTGCCATATCTCAGCTGGGAAAGCACTTACATGGTGCCTGTGGTATATCAGCAAGCAGTTGATGTTCTCAGATTTGACATTAAGGAGAAGAGGGGAGGAGAGTGTTGAACAGGCAGGGGGAGAAGGTAGGAAGGGTGGGGGTGAGGGTCAAAAAGAAAGATTAGGTGGGTGCAAAAGAAGAGAAATGAAATGACTCAGAAACTACATGTTTCAGGTGACATCTCTCCCTTTCTTCCATTGTAGGTGGAGAGAAGTCTCAGGACTATGCTGGTGAGTAACCTTGATGTTCTCTGAGTTTCCTGGCACGTGTGTACTAAGCATTTGAACCTTTTCTCCGCTGTGTGACCCATTGGCATTCCCAGTAGGAATAATCAGATCTAGCCCAGAGGCTCATTTTCCATAGGGGATACCACTCCTGCTTTTCTGGAGCCTCAGAGAGGATCTTTCAGATACAGCACCTGGGCATTTTCAGCCACCCCTCACCCTGCTGGCACACATGCCCACACCTCAGCAAAGCCTGGCCATGTCGCCTGCAGCCACAGTATGATGGAAGGAAGGAAGGCCACGTTCTGAGAGGTTGTATCCGTGATCCAGCAGAGCTATAGAAGAAGGACGCTGAACATTGGAAGAGACTGAAGAAAGGGGGAGGGGAAAGGTTTACTGAGGAGAATGGGTGGGGAACAAAAGAAATAATGTCCTTTCCTTATCCACGTCTCCTGCCTTTCAGAATGGAAGATGGCCCTCTTCCAAACTGGGGAGTGAATTACTGTATGTTCCCTAGGACAACAACCTGAGAGACCATATTCTGTTTTTTTTCCTCTACCTCTTGAGATCCTGGGAAGAAAAGTCCCCATGACTGGGAGAGTTCAGGTGGATGACTTGAAGTTCTGGTCTCAAAGGTGTGCCCATCATCAGGGTATTGTGCTGAGAGCCCAGAAAACCAGGGAGAGTTGCTCCCCTGGGCTTCCACAGATCTTCATGGGAAGGAAGAAGCACAAAGGGTAGAGCTGAGGGAAAGGAGAGGCAGAGTGAACTAATATTGCAGGGAAAGGGAGTATGTGGAATGACCAAGGAGAGAAGGCAGTACACAAAGAACTTTGCTTTTCCCAAGCTTCCTATGCTACCTCCTGCTGCTGTGAGTCCCCAAGTTGCTTAATGTTTCTGAAATTAACTCTCTTCATTTTTAAATGATGATCATAATTCCTATTATGTGAGGGTTGAGGTAAAGACTAGTTGAAGTAATGAACATGTATTGGTCAAGAAACCAACAAGAAAGGGATGGCATTTTCAAACTAGGTGATTGAATAAAGTTTAGAAAAGGAACTTTTACATAGGTGGGAGTGGGGTTAAGGAAAATCAACAAGGGAATGTGAAGTGCCCCAGGGCTCACAGTAGTGGGAAGCTGTCACCACCCTAGACTTGAAAGAGTAGGGAGAGGGAACAGTTACTGGAGCCCAGAGGAAGCTGTAGCTCAAGGACAGGGCTGCCTGAGAGGAGTCATGTCTTTGTTAGAGCATCACCATCTGAAGTTGACAAGGAGGAAGTGGGGAAAATAAATGCTGTGCCTCTCTTTTCTTTCTCCTTCCAATCATCAGCTAGTACTTTCCTTTGGCCAAACCCAACAGGTAACCAGAGGCAAGGGACCCCAGCGATGTTGTCCATAGAGGATACATTCCTGGGGCCAGAAAAAGGTAGAGAAAGGTGGAGAGTGGATCTGGGAGCACAGAAAGCCGCCAATATGGCCTTTAACACAGAAAAGGCATGGCAGCCATTATAACATCAGGCACTTCCTCCATGCCTGGCCCTGGGCTTCATATAAAACATATGTTGTCTTTTTCTACCCCAGAGATTAATATTTTTATCCCCATTTTTCAGATAAGGAAATTTAGGCTGAAAGGTATTATAAATCTTGGGTTTATGGAGAAAGAGACTGCAGAAAAGGAAAAGTCATTCAGCTCACGAGTGGTAGAACAAGGATTGAAGTGTAAATCTAAGCGACTATAAAAAAGCACATGTGGGCAGACTCATTTTGGGGAGGGAAGTAGGAAAAAGATGGAAGGAAGGAGCCAGCTCAAGATGTCAGGTTAGGCAGGCCTGACCCTCAGCATTCTTCTCCACTGAACAAAAGACTCCTGTGCCTTTCTTTCGGTGTTGCTGAGAGGGTCACATTTGGGGCAGGCTGGGGACACCAGGCTCTGAACTCGTACCTTCTCAGCCGTACCCAGGTCTTCAAGGCTGAGTTTCTGAGGTCTGGGAACAATGGCTGACCCCATGACCCATCCCATACTTTCTGCAGCAGATGTGATTCTGGATCCGGACACAGCACACCCCATCCTCTCTCGTTCTCTGGACCTGAGGAGCCTGTGGATGGCAGTCACACCAGGAAATCTGTCAGACAACCCTAAGAGATTTTATTGGCATTCCTGTGTGCTTGGCTGCAAAAGCTTCATGTCAGGGAGAAATTTCTGGGAGGTCGGGATGTGGGACAACAAAGAATGGCATGTTGGGGTGTGTAGGGAGAATGTGGAGAGGAAATATTTGGTTTATATAGCTCCTGAGAACGAATTCTGGACTATGGA